GGGAGGGAGGGGCTGGGTGGGTAGGGTGGGGAGGGGCTGGGTGGGGAGGGTGGGGCTGGGTGGGGGGTGGGAGGGGTGGGGCTGGGTGGGGAGGGGCTGGTCACCCCGTGGTGCCCTTATAAAACTCAACGTTTCACCTACTCACGCCGGCTTGTGCCCGCCCTCACAGTCGGGCATATTTGTGGAATACACCACGCCGCCGTTGACCCTGGCCATTGACCGAGCAACCCAACGTTACTACCAGCTCCCTCCGCAGGAATGTGTTATCCAGACTTGGGGACATTACAATTTCCCACACACCCTGCTACAGATTGTCATTGCGTGGAAAATATGTTTATTATATTATCAGTGGTGGAATTTTATGAAATTAAGTGAAAAGCCAAATGTACCGTGAGGGGGCTGAGACCATCAACCTTGAATCCATAAACACGCAGTTTAGTTTATTCATGGGTGGCTACCAAGATTCAAACCCAGGATCTCGTGGTACTCTGACCCCTGAGCTACCACTACCTTCGTGCACAGATTTAGAACACATACATGGAATTGCAATTAATTAGTTTACCAAACAATGAGTCCTTAATTTTTGAAAAGCTTCTCGATAATTCGTACTGTATGCTGTAAGTGGCACATTTTTATTTCCATGCATTTACTTTCATGACACAAATAAGTCATATTTTAAAATACTTTTTTTTTTTAACTCTTTAATGAAATGTACCGTACTCATAATGGCAGAACTCCACGTCTCCAGGAAGTGGCCCCGAAGCTTGCCATAACGTAAGGGGCCGTGGTGATTTACAGCCAACGTCAGTTGAGCGTGGACAATTAGACCCAAGCCGAAACATAACATATAAAAAAGATGGTTGAAAAATGTTTTTTAAAATAGAATATAGTATTGTCATCAGTATGACATAAGTATACCAAGTTTGCAGTCGATACCACATTGGGAAGTGGGTTAAAATTGAGTTACAAGATTTGAGGATACGACAACAATAACAACATACAGAGTGAGTTCAATAAAAGCGTGTAAAAAAGCATATTTAACACCAAAACAGAACCTGCCAGTGTGATGACAAACCTTTGCAATGTGCACAGGTATCTCGTCATTCTTGTGCGATAATTGCATGCCGCCTGATGCAGGTACGGACACGTTTAAGGGGCAGCACAAAACCACGTATTCAAAATTAAACAGCAGCGTGAAATTGTTGACTCATCCCAGTGAGCCTGTACGTGAACTATCATATTCTTGTGTCATGCGTTACAGACCTGCAAAAAGGGCATTAATTGTCGAATGGACATGCCAATAGCGCAGCCATTACGACCCTTTCTGAATATGGACTCAAACGGCAAAGGTTCGTCTGATTGAAAACAAAAACTAATCTTCCGTCTTAATAGTGTGACGCACTAACTATAGCGCCACCACTCCACACACATACATATAGACACACTCACACACAGTATCTTTCTGGAGCCGTGCTTTTACAAAGTGAGGGTTGTTCAGAAAACACGCAGCATGTGCCCTTAATTAAAACAGCTTACCTCATCAAACGTTAACACCACCCCTACGCATTTCCTGCAGAACTTGTGTTGCCATGGCCTGAAAAGAGAGACCCCCACATCCCACCCTTCCCCCACGAAAAAAAAACATCTCCTAACTAAAGAAGTAGTTGCTAATGTACGACAGTGCAGTAGAGCTACTTTGAAATGAGATCATTTGGATGGGAGACGCACAAGACGTGAGTTGTGGTTGAACACGGGAATGGGGTGAATCACATCATACCGTATAGCTTGACATTTGCCAAGTCTGTTTTGCAACCAATTTCTGGATGCCGCAAAATGAAATTACTCTATTAAAATAATAAATCGTATTTCAGCTGCAGAACATTTTTTTTTTACTGCGTATCTTATTTTAATTATGCGCAGTTTATGTATTAAGAGTTTAATTTCTGACATGATTACAAAGTCACAACATTAGCGCAATGACTTAATTTGAACGCTGTGGGTAATTTATGAAACTCATTAATAAGCAGTTTTCCAAGTACTCGTAATTGTAAATTGGCTTTGACGGGCGAAAAAGAGCCAACCCACCGTCGCACGAATGTCAATTGTGAACACCGCATTGTGCAAAACGTCATCCTCTCTCTCTGTGGCCATTGGAGCCGCGTGCGTGAGCTTGGCAGTAAACGCGTCGTTCGCAGGACGCCGACACAATCGCATGCGCGAGCGGGCCACCGACAGAGGCAGCAGGGGGTTGGTGTGGGGTGTGGGGGGGCGGTGGGGGGGGGCCACGCTGGGTCGAGGCGCCCGGGAAGGCGGTGCCGGCGTCGCGGACGTGCTCGCGCGCACGTCCGCCCGGCGGCGGCCGGGGGAGGCTCGCCAGAGACGAGCGCGAGAGCCACGTGCGCGCGCCTCCCACGTGGCACTACGACGATCCCAGCGCGCGCACGCGGTTTTTTTGGCTACGGGGGGACGCGGTGTTGGGTGGCTGTGAAATCTGGCGTTCTTCTTTCCCAATCGGCAGATTTTTTTTTTGCGTTGTAGACAATGGCAATTCAGGGTTTCAGTTTTTACTCATTCGTGAGCCGTTTTTACAGCGACTGTGGTGAAAATGCGTGTATCACAAAATTAGCACGAATGAAACTCACTTTTTTATGATACTGCATTGGCAGTGGTGTCAATGCAGCATCATTTATGGAAATGGTCCTTCATAACGCATGAATATAGGCCACATACCGTGGATAATACGAAAGAGAGAATGCTCTTTACACCGTGAGGCCTGATGAGAATTAAATACAATAGAAATTCTGAGAATCAGTTTTTGAACTGAATATGAAGTTACCTCACAATAGCCATTGAGTAAGAGTATTACGACATAAAATAATTTATATAAATATATAGAGAAAATGTGGCTTGTACAACGAATTGTGCAGTACATTTCTGGGGCAGAGAAGTCTGAGAATGACATTTAAATACAACTAAAAAGGCATAAGATTTGTCTCGCACTCAAAAAGAATAGATGCTTTAAATGAAGGTGGGGCGTTCAATCAGCCATGCCGGCTGAACGGTATCAGTTGAAATATAAGTTTATGATATATATCCGTCATCGTTCTGGTCTCATCCCCACTAGAGATGAGGACAAGGCCACGCACCTGATGCGTCACTGGGGCTGTGGCCCCTGCTGTTGAAGTGACGAGCCTTGTGGTTCTGACGTCTGCACGGCAAGTGAACAGAAGATGTTGGGCAAATCTATCACGAGGCGTTTACCTGTTTCTTCACTGCAGTGGAGGCCACAGCTTGCATACAATGCAATAAACCAGATTGGTGGAGGTGCAAATAAACCTATGGTGCATCACTTATGACGCTCAGGGTGTTTATCTGAGTATTGAGCCGTGCACTCCAAGGTCCCTGAGGTTTGTGTTTCTGAGGATCGCTCATAGGAGGCGATTGCCTTTAAAATGTTGGTAAAACTTGTGTTGCTCCTTTGGAAAGTGAAGTTAAGGACGGCGTCTTTGATGGCCAGGTTTGAAGGGTGACGTGTATCAGGATAACCGGTATCATATCGTCTGCTTTCTGTTCAACGGTTATCTCACAATGGACCATGAAGCAACCGTTAATTACAGTATATCAACCTATCGTTTACTAATATATTCATACTTTGATGTCCTAACAAATGCAAGTTAGTTCATGTGGCGTTTAGTCTAATTAATCCCATGCTCATATAAGCACTGACGTGGTGCTTATCTTGCTTACAGCTCCGAATCAGTGGAGAAAATTGCACGTTCATTTGGGAGGGCCAGTCTATCCATAGGAATAACCATCGATGACTTCCCCCGTGTACATGCCAAAGTGATGATGGGCTAAGTCAACCCACAGTCAGATATTGAACTCGCAAACCTCCCGATTATGAGCCGCTCATTATTTTTCACAGCCACTGAGCCAGAAAAAATTTTGCATTAAATCCAGGGAGATATTGGTGCAGGGAATACTTACTTTCTACATAAACGCCTTGTAGCAGTTATGGAAAATAACTATTTAGCAGTCACACTAGGCATTGCCACCAATACTTGCTATATTCGAATATGACACGTAATACTTTTGTAGTGTGACTGTTGGTCTCTCCTTGTATAAAATTGATGAGAACTATTGCAAAACCTGTCATTCGACTCAAATATATTTACAACCCTCGATCTAATATACCAATATATCCCACGGTGAAAAGTGCAACAAAACAAGATGACCGTTTGAAGGAGCCACACATCAAAATATCTCAGGAACATACTTTCCCGAGTTGCAAATGCAAATCGTTTCCCAACCTGAAAAGCAATCGTCTCGTTCCACAGGACATGAACTACCCCCCCCCCCCCCCCCGTGACCTATCCTGATGGTAATCTATTTAGAGGATATTCCTTCTCTGGTTCTTTCAGAAGTAATCCCACCCTTGGTAACCCACGAAAAAAAATATTCATGACACCGTCACCGATTGTGCACAGCCAGTCCTGCATTGGCTGACGCAAGAGCCCATCTATCACCAGGCCTACATTGCAATGATAGCAAATTTGTAATGTCTATACCATGTCTAGCGTAGCCCTTGGTCCAGACTGAAATGTTTAACTTAAAGTTCTCATTACTCTTATAGTGCGTTGTCTTTGAACTGTGCGCCTTTTGGCGTCATTTGGTCGATCACCATATGATACTAGGCTCTGAGAAAAGCTGTCTCTGGTGTGGACCAATGAGTTTCAAGGACAATGCATACATTATCAGAGTATTGTTTTTTGTTTGCATTTTGACTGCAAGTATTGTGGTTAATGTAAACATGATTCCTTGCAAAAGGAGTCAGTTTTGTTGCCAAAAAAAGGGGGAAACCCTATTAGTATATTTGGTACTGGCAAAGGAGGCCTCATGATGATTAAAGTAAAGTTAAATGACTTTTGAGGAATAAAGGGTGCGTTCAGAGTAGACCTTAAACTAAAGCAGCTCATACACATCACATGCTAAATACTGTACATGACTAGAATTGTTTTTATTTTAACTTAAAATATAAGCTATCATATATGAACAGGTATTTTTTTAAAAATCAAACTCCACAACAAAATACAGCCTTTCAAAAATAAATATTGTTGTAGAATATAATAAATGTAATTACATCAACGCAAAGTCAAGTCAAAGTAGCACTGTTAAATTGGGCATTGAGGTGGCTCTTATCTCTGTTGCGAGGCCTTAGCCAGAATTGAAATGTCCCACATTCCCATGGAAGTCACTGTTGACTTCAAATTGGCAAGTTCACCCAACTCCAACAACAAACACTGTTCTTGTTCGTGCAATGGGTTTTCTCCAGGCTCTCCGGTTTACTCTCACTGGAAGCCAATCACTTGTTATGATTATTTTTTATTTCAACCGCAAAGAGAATGAGGGGCTGAGTCGACCCGCGACCGGGATTGAACTTACAACTCTCCTCCTGTCAGACGAACGCTCACCAGCATCAGCGCCCGGCCGATTAGCCTACCCACTCACATACACACAGGAGTTTGCCTGACCAAAGACCACCACTTTGACTATTACACAACTACTTTAATGCAATTAATTTTGCTCACCCATTCAATAAATACACACGACCGAGCACAGTAAAAGTTTAAAATTAGTAGATCTGCAGTGAGGAATGTTTGGTGTTGTTACTGAAACACAAACAACAGTGAGGCAGGGATATTGTGACACTTTGCAGAACTGTATATGTACACATGATAGCAAACAGGGACACACCATGATGGCTTGTTATTTTCCTCTCTGCTTAACATTCAGAAGTGGAAAAAAAGCTTACACAAGAGGGACAGCGTACAGCCATTGGTCATCGTGTTTCATGGGCCAGAATGGCAGTTACAAGCGTTTTTTTCCTCACTTTCTTGTCATTCACGTTTTTAAGAATACAACACATATGCACCTCTTTTTCAATATTTACACTGCTACAGGGTCCAACGTTTAACACTGCTTATACTGCATCACTCTCTGTTTGGCTACGCTAGTTTATGGAGAACTATCAAGCTGCGAGTCTCTGTCTCCTTCAAACAGAAGCAAGCTTCATCACACAGACTTCACGTGCACTGTCCAGTAAGCAAAGCGCTCAGAACACAGAAAGCAGCATGATATATTTTACCTCAAAATCATATGCCAAAGTGCCACAATATGTTGCACTTATAACTCGAACATAGTATACAGCACAATATGTTAACATTTTAAATACAATTTAAATACAGCGTAATAAATAATGTGTGGGCCTGCAATGCTATGACAGCCAATTTATAACTTAGAGGCTTAGTGGTCTCTAATGCTTAACCTGATGGTCTTATCTAAAGTACCAAAGTACCACATCACAAACAAAATCAGTACACACGGTGTTAATTACATCAATATTAAACTACACATATATATGGTGTCATCGTTACCTGGAATAGATTTTAACGTTTCAAATCGCAAGAGCGTAGACTAATCCAAGACCTTTCACATACACGCGGCTTGACATTTGTACGTAGTGATTTACTGTTGTGGTGATGTACATCGGGAACTGTTCTTGTTGGCGATCAGGACCGATGAGATGCTACATATGGGCTTGATGTGCACAAGGTGTCTCAGTGCCAGAGCTCGTGTGCAGTCTGAACATACGCAGCTTGTACGTAATTCCAACATCTCAATTCCTTCACCTTCATCATCTCCAGCAGGGGACATTCCATTTGCTCGTAACGGCAGGTCCGAGGATGCCAGCAATATCTTCAAAAACGTCCAACCTTCTTCATCTTCTCGTGCAAATTTTCAATAACATGTGGAATTATCTAAGGTAGCAATACAGAATTTGAGATATATACACACATATCTCATGTCTAGGATTGACTCTATCCCAGATTTTATCATTTTAATAGAAAACATACGCCGCACCGTTAAGTAGGCCAATATCCGTCGAAAGTACACGTAGCCAGAAACGAATGCGAGTCTTTTTTTACGTGGCCAAGTGTGTTCTGTGTGTTTGTGGAAATAAAACTCCAGTTGAGCATTACAGCAATGATTGCAACTGCGTGCGCTGCACACGAGGAGCGAGTCTCATGCACGCCGAGCTGACTCCTGTGGGCCGCACGGAGCCCATCAAGTGAAAAAACGCCGGGAAGATAATGCACCAAGACAACTCCTGAGCAAGTACATCTCTGAGCAAGTACGTCTCTGCCGGGAGATGGACACCAGCTTCTTTACTGCACTGGGCAGTTTCTTCTCCATCGGCGTTGGCGGATGGGATGGTATTTTCATCTCCTTGGTCTTTCACACCTATCGGTGAATAAAAACAAAACGTCAACATCACAAGCGGCAACCAGACTCACTTACAAGTTGTGTCAGTCGGGGTTGCTAACAATTGGACGTTTTGTAGTTCCATGCTTCACAATGGCTTCAAACCTTGTAGTCCCAGTATGAAATATAAGAATAGATTATCCCCTTTCTGCCAATAAAAAGGTGTTAACATGTTCAAACACCAAATAGAAACCTTTTGCAAGGAATCAAGTCTGCATTAACCACACGTACTTGCGGTGTTGTAGTCCCAACTGTATTTCCTTAAACCCCACCGCTTTGCACTATAATACTGTAATAATTGCAATGCATTGTTAATCCACTGCTGGACAAAGGCCTCCCCCCCCATACCGTCAGTCATAGGGTTATTTGACCAAACTTTCACCACACTGGTCAGCATAGGTTGGTGAAGCGAGGGGCTCCTGAACCAGTCCAGATATCACTCGCCACTGACGTTAACCATTACCGGGAATTTAACGCGGGTAACCAGGTTAACAGCACAGGGTTATAGTCACTGGATCACTGCTCGCCCCGCTTTACATTATAAAGAGAAATGTTTATGTTTTTTTTCTTTTAAGTAATCTTTTTTTACATTTTTTGGTGATTAGCATCTAATCACCAAAGTGCCCATTCATAACTCTTGCAGAGCAGGACAACATCCTATGTGAGAAAATTATTAATTAATTTAGATATCAAAGAACTACTTTGAAGATACCCTCAAGTGACCTTTATTATCTACACATTTGTGGCTGAGCTTTCCCATACGCCATAGCAGTCAACTGAACTTTTTCTTAGTTAATTTTTTTTTTGTAAAACACAACATTAAAGGTGGCAATTTCTTTGTGTAATCATAAGTGGAGATCAATGTGGTTTAAGAATTGATGTTGACTCAGTGATTTTACCACTGAGCTACCTGGTCACTTTATAATTAACAAAAATATATCGAAGTCCATCACACATTGTTGGTGATTTTTTTAGCCAAAAGGATTTCTCCTTCCAGAGCCAAAATAGCTTAAGGACACGGTCTAAATTGAGACCACAGGTCAACCATGTGATTGAATACTGAACACTTGGGCACAGTTAAACACTTATGGGCTTGAACGTGAGCATGTGTTATGGTCGGTGAGTTTGAAGTGCACTCTGGGGAAGCACGTGGCACACAGACGACAGCGCGATCTCACACCGGACAGTGGCGATCGAGCCACGGCAGTCCTGGCTTCGGTAGTGTACTGTTTAGCACGTTGTGCTACGAACCTGGCGACCAGAGTTCAATTCCTGCTCACGGCCAACACCAGTGACGATTATCTGAACCGGTCCTGGGCCTCCCCGAGGTCGACTCAGCCTCAAATGAATACCTAATGTGGTGTGTAAACATCACCACTGGGGAGACAAAGGCGGCCGGGCGTGGTGCTGACCACCTACCTCCTCGTATGCTGTGCCGGCCTTCATAAGTGCCTGCTAACAGCACTTGCCCAAACAGTTTGTTAAGGCGATACGGGGGATCTTTGTCCTTGTTTTATGTGTCGTGCCTGGAAATGTGTCCTGCCTGGCTGTGTGTTCTGCCTGGATGTGTGTCCTGCCTGGCTGTGGCGCTGCCCCAGCCGTACACATTAGACTCAGTGTTTACCATTCGAGAGGTTACGCCCCACCACTAACGTTATGTCAACCCTTACAAATGGCGGTCAGACCTAAGGGCATAGAGCAGAGGGAGTTAAACAAGCAACGCAATACCCACGACTGATAAGAGAAACAGATGATAAAAAGTCAGACATGTTGACACGTGGAAGACTACTTGAAGCAAGTGGTGAACACATCCGAAAGAGGAATACAGAGGCTGAATTACACAGCTTGAGAGGATGCGTTGACGCATACCAAGCCTGTCAGCGCTGTGGCACGGAATGGCTGAGCGCATGGGTGTCAGCATTGAGCCGTACCTGCAGCTGTGCTCATTCAGCTCTTGGCCCCGATGTTTGCAACGTGCCACTGACAGCTTACACAAGCACTTGCAGGTGTCAGGGTCTGGCACCAGACGCCTTTCCGCGCATGGTTTGCACAAGCTGTGGGATAGGATACAGTTGTTTAGAATTATAACATGTACAATTTTAATTCACTCTCAGAGAGACAAAATGATTCAGCGCGGGAAGGTAGCCAGAACCGGTGGCAACAATTGAACCTTATGGCGGGACCCCGGGGTCCCGAATAAAATTAAGGCAAAATCGTAATTTATTTATTTTTGGCGACTACGTCTCACTGGCGCGGATCATTCTGTTATCATGTTATTTTTTTATCCTCCTGATGACGATCGCTTGTGTTGTGATCGAAACGTCGTGGTTTTTTGTATTTTTTTGTCATTTTCTTTCAACCTATCTACGTGACTTTACCGAAAGTCCCAAAGAATCTGTTGGACTTCTTTCGTGCCATACGTAGCCAACCATAATAATCGGAGGTGCGGGGGAAGGACAACAAACTAAACACAAAACGCAGCTCTAAACAAGTGAATTTTCAATCTAGATTTAAAAGTGCATAGCTCCAGTGGCTTCTCAATATCGGAAGAGCTTTTCTAGATGGCCGCAGAAGGGCATCTGAAAGCGTACAATGCAGTGACCATCTTTATTCGATGGTTAGCCAACAGCTACTGTGGGAATGACCGGAGTTCGCGTGATGTTTTTTTATCCTTGACAAGATCAGCAAAGAATTTCTAATTTTGTCAAGGAGCAAGGAGCATAAACCATGTTAGTTGTGGCCAAGAATAAAACTTGTGTTACTGGCTTCATAGTGCAGTGCGCCAACCCCACTGCATTACTGCATCAACACCATTTTACGGCTACCTAACCTGAAACATGCATCATTTTAAACTAACTACTATGCCTTTTAACTACCTGGAGTTTAGCTTGGTTACATTTAATGACGTAATTCCTGGCATCAGAATACCCAAAAATATATTACAATAAATTCACTATTTTGTTTTTTAAAATCACTATTTTATTCACATTTTTTTTGTGTGAACAATGTGGTCTCAAGTAGCTGGAAGTGGTGAGCTCATTACATACAACACATAATAATTTGACAGGATTGTCCACCGAGGAGATGGAGCAGTCAAATCAGTTCTAGTGAAGGACTGTTACATCGCAAGATCATGAACGGTGGTGGGTGGCTTGGGATAGGCCTTAATTCCCGGTGGATTATGGCTGATTATGAAATCGAAGCATGTTATCGTGGGAAGCAACATTTGTTAATAAAAGGTGCATACATGCTATATTTTGGGCTTTATGTTGAATAAGGGACATTGGCTGAAAAGGTGGCTCATTGCATGCATCTCTCTTGTACGACAGTGTTCATTACTAAAGCAGTCAGTTTATTCACGTACGCGGTGTCACGTTTCGTACCTGGGAGATTTTTGTCGTTCTCGTGATCTGCAATGTTCATAAAAAGTAAAACATTCCAAATTAAAATTTGTAAATGTGTTCATAGTCGGCAGCTTTACAACACGTTTTTACGAATGAGCATGGTTAACATTCAATAAATGTACGTGTGTAACGTGTCTGTGTAAACAATACCAAGATCATGTTCCTTACCTACACTCACATTTGGTGTGCTGCTGAAATGACATTTCTTCATAACCTGCATTGTGGCGTAGTTTGTATTTATAAACCTGCAATAAAAAATAATGTATTAAAATAAACACCTGTAGTAATAATAATACAAATTAATAACACGCTCAAAATTCGTGAAGGGAGTTGCTAACGCAAGTGAGCGGCACGACACATTTCATGGTGTAACCGGCACCACCAATGCTTGTTGGTGATGCAGCCCTTCCAGAGACAATGTTAATAATACCAACTGTTTCGTGGCCAGGTGGCTCAGAGAGGCTTGCAATCGAAAGGTTGTGGAGTTAAAATCCTGGTTGGGGGCTGACTCAGCCCATAATTCCTCTAGGGTCTATAAAATTAGTTCCTATTGGCAGGGAAGTCAACATTGGTTATTCTATGGAGAGACATTCCCCTGCCAAAGTAACATGTAATTTCCCCCATTGGCTCAAGAATGTAAATAGGAGATGGACACTGCATCAATGATTATTTAATCAGGAAATCACTTTTGTATTACTTTCCAAAGAAAGCGTCACTGAGTCTGAAGATTATTTTTAAGAACAGAGCTGCATTGGGATGTTTTCACCATAGCATTAACGAGAGGCGGAAGGAAAGCAGGAGACCAACGAGAGTGGGCACACACTGGGTAGTTTGGTTGTCTAACACCTACCATCCCCAGCACGGAGGCTGCACGCACGTTAATAAACGCTGGTAAAGAACTATCCCTTAGTTAATGAGTATCCCTGCTTGTGCTTTCAATCCCGTGGGGGCTTAGCACCTGGGTTTTGCTGAGCTGGCTGGTTAGCTGTGTATGCCAACATGCACAGGGTTGGTGGTACAATCGGTCCTGACCATCCCCTTTCACCAACCCGCAAAGACCAGCATGGTCAAGTGCAGTCAAACCGACACGGTCTGGGAAGGCCTTCATCCGGCAATGGATTGACAAAGGTCTGTGAATTATTATTACTGAAAAATTAAACAAAAATATAACCTCATGCCTTTCCTCGTGTGGATTATAAGATTGACTCACATCTGCTTTTAAATCGAGCAGAATAAAACTGAGACGCGTGTAATATAACGACTTACTTAGTACGTATTTAGCGCCGTAAGTACTGTAGCTGTGCACGTAAATGTGCATAGCTTTGAAGGAAAGTTCGTTCTTTATTTATTTACAAGTTTATTCATGCAGTCAACCCGCCAGTGTTAGAGCTTCACGGGTTGTAAGCCTCGTCAGGGGTCGGTTCAGCCCATCATCCCTTCAGGAGTCGATACAATAGTACCAATGTGAGGAAGTCAACAGTGGTTGGATAAACATGTACACACCACAGGAAAGTGAAATTTCAAGCAATAACTTGGGAAACCCCTTTAGTTGTTTTTTTACTGCAAACTTACAATACATTTTAGATAGGACTTAAATTTCAAAGTTTGCATTTGATTTCCAAAATCCTCGTCTGTCTGCAGAACTGCAAAGCAATTGACTCAGTAGCAGGGACCCATGAAACATACAATCCAGACAATTTCAATTTCATATTTTTTATATTTCGTTTAAGATACACTTAAAACATTAATTCAGTTCTGTGAGTTCCTTCAGTATAAACACAGGGTTAGGAAAACGTATATTTAACTTGATACCCTTGGATAGTTAACACAATTTTCACACTGAAATTCGTGATGACAATGGCTACAATCCTGTCTTTCACACCTATGGATTCCATATGGGCTCTCACGCAGGCCACGGGTGTCCTGCCAGTGCCAATGCTGCCGTACGGGTACATAGCACAGAGCGTGGCACGGACCGTGCCATGCAGGGTGGCGTGGAGCGTGGCACAGAGCAAGCGCTCACCTGTAGAGTGATGTTGGCGGTCTCTGTGGGGAGACATTCTTGGTTCTCATCATTGCAACAGCCAGAGCAGCGTAAGAGCGGCACACACGACGGCCGGAAGAAGTGCTCCACCTCGTCTGGGTATTCGTGCAGGATGTCGATCATCGTTTCCATCGGCTGGCAGTAACTCCGCCTCATCACCTCGTCAAACTTCATCACTGCACAGCATGCAAGGGCACGGGTCAGGCTACCCTTGAGCTACCCCGTAGTGTCAGGGGGGGTGAGGCTGGAGGGGACTGAAGGCTCAGCCCCCTTCTAAATGTGTATAGTTAAGTCAAAATGTTGGTAGGAAAATTCGTTAAATTAAACAATCGGCATCACTGCATTTAATCTTATACAATGGATGAGACCTCGAGCAGAATACACGATAGACAAAAGCAGATCCGACCATTGCTAATTTTGTCCAAAGTTTGTTTGATATTGACTGTATCGTTGCCCCCCTGAGTCTCCCCCCCCTAAACAAGATCACGTGACAAGAGTTACCGTTTACCGTTGAGGGCACCGACAGAAAAAAATATGGCAAAGCAGACTCCAAATTTCTTTCCTGGAAACCTTCCTTTACTGAGAAAACACCCAAATAGACTTCCCATGTTGAGCCCATCGTGTCTCCTGACAAGTGCACCAAACATTAACAGGTGCTGCATTTAATGAATATTTTAAATAATATAACAATTGCCTATCACGCATTGGTCAATGCCAGTTGATGAAACCGGAGCACAGATATTGTAGCATAGTACGATACAACAATGGGTTTTGCTACACTACCTCCTATTGATAACATAGCCCCGCAGCAGTTTACAACAGGTTTTATGCATGGTGCTGGCCCAAGTAAAGCCAGGCCCGAGCCTGCTTAGCTCCCAAGATTTAAAGAGGCTGTGTGCATTCTGGGTGATTTAGTAAAAGACAACATATAAGAATATCCAAGAATTAGGGCTAAGTTTTCTTCCACGGTATATTCAATGCGGAGCATTGAATATACGGTGGAGTTGAAAATCTATGCCAAATTTAATCAGTAGAGTTTGGCCTACAGGGGATTTGACACAAAGTCTCAATTCTGTATGAGTGAGAAGAAAATAACATGCTACATCCCAGCTCGGTTTTTTTGCAAATGCTTGTGCTCCGCACAGTATACTTTATTGGCACTGCACTGAAGAAAAACTCCCGCGGAGATGTCAGCGAATTCTTATCTCTAAACTGGAACAGTGTATTCTGCATGCCAGTGGCAGTGTGAATACAATAACATTTTGCATTGGCTTGAGATAATAATTTACCTGCCACACAACTGTGGACTATGCAAAGCCTTTCTTAGCAAACTCACAAGCCTGGACAACATTATTACTTATGTTATAGTTAAACTAGCTTTTCAAGAAAATTACAATATCATTCCTTCACTGTAGACTTATCATGAGCTGTAAACGGCAGAAAGGCTGATGGTGGACTTTGGCAGCCCATTATCTACAGTACAGTGCTATCAGTAAGACAATTATCCTTGGGAAAACAATTACATTTATAATTCCCCGGCACAAATGTTGTGGTCCCCATAAATCTACCAGAAAATCCGTAAAACGTTTTAAAATACCCAGGCAGCGATAATTAACCTCAAAATTCCCATAATCTAAGGATAATTGCCACTGTACAATGGCATCGACGCTATACACCAGAGGTCGCAACCGGGTACCCGATACCCGTACCCTACCCGATACCCGGCTACCCGTACCCGGCCGGGTACGGGTAGCCGTTTGCGACCCTGGTGCGGCCGGGTACGGGTAAGGAATCAAAACCCGTTTGCGACCTTTCCTATACACTGCACCAAAATAGGTCTCCAACTTCATCCAGTAGGTGGCATGCGCCGGACAGAGAGGGTCTGCTCTCAGACCACTTAGCAAGAGCTCCTGCGTGCAATTGAAGTGGTTTGGCTCGCATTGCCGTTGTTTTAATCACGGACTTGTTCAATCTCATTCATCTGTTTCTTCCATCTCTATCATCATGACTGTTTCTCACCACTCCCACTGATTCACAAATTCCACACCCACCCAAATGAGCCCCCCTTTACATGAAGGGACTACTTCAGCAACCCTCGCAGTAATGCCTTAGGCCTAGTATTAACACACGCAGTCAGCCTCAATCTATGAAGAATGTGCAATATATACTGCAACAAAGTTCACCACAATACAGTACCGGCATCGGATCGAGGTGCAACAACTCCTGCTGCCCAAACACAGATGCTAATTCCCAGACTGTCCACGTGAAACTCGGAAAGGTGGCAATCCAAAATTAGGCTTCTTAGCTGTTCATTGAAATGGTACAGACATTCGTTAGTCCACTGCTAGATGAAAGCCTATTCCATGGCCAAGAGGTTGTTTGACCATACTTCACCAGGCTGGCTAGTGCGAATTGCTGAAGAAGTGGGCCCGTGGCAGATTCAGATACCAATCGCCACTGATGTAATCAAAAATAAATTAAGCTCAGGTCGCCAGCTACCAGCCTCGCTAACAATTACGATACTGCGCCATCCAGTTGTAAATTATGAAACATTTTGATAAATGTGTGCAGAGAAGTACATATTTTGTTTAAACGCTTGAAAGCCATATCAGAGATTAAATTATGTTAATTTGTCAGGGATTGCAAGGATTATTTTTTTTAAATGTAGCCACAATCTTTTGCGGTCTCACCTCCATTCTTCAGATGACTTTGTCCAGACGAAACACTCATGGGCTGTAAGGAAAAGAGGAAAATCCATGCATGAGAACCATATATGTATCGCCAATTGCTTTACTGTATCCCAATGTAATTGCACAAAGGTATGCACACGGAAAACAGTTAAAGTATAGCAGAAAAACACAGGATGTGTTTCTGTTTTCCCTCCTGAAGGGTAAAATCTAAGAGGCAAACACTTATTCTGTTTGAAGTTTGATCTTGGGGCTGATCACAAGAACCACTAATTTTTATATGCTATAAAGGAGCCCTTTTAAGTGTACACTGGAGGAGTAAAAAAAAAATCTCAAACGCTGAAGCGGCCCAATACATTAATATCTTAACACTAAGCTCTGGGGTAATGCGAATGACCGCTAGTTATCCCACTTGTGTCCAGCATTTTATGAGAGGGGGGTTTGGAAATGGAAAATGTGTGATGGCAGGCGAGATGCCAGAGGGCCGGCGTGCTAGAGTCGTTGCTCACGTTTTCTTTTTGTCTGACCTGCGTCCTTCAACTCCCTATAGAGTGTAATTTTGCTCACAACCGGCATTAAATGAAAAAATAAATACCACCATGCCCTCTCTAATTACACAATTGGTTGCGCTCACTTTGGCATTCGATTAAAATGGTCACGTTTGTAAATGTACGCCTCTAACGTTTCACAAAAAGAGGTACTTTTCTTAATAAACTAATTTCAACTTTGCACTTTTTGCATGATCACACTTGCATCCATGCGTGGCGATGCTTTTGGTTGGCATCAACCCTCCAGCGATAATAAGGTCAATGTGCAGTCTGAAGTGCGGTATGCAGACAAGGAGACATGGACCCGCGTCCACTCCATGAATGTTTGACATTTTGGAGAGGGTGCCACTACATCGTAGCCATCTGCAACGCTAACTGTCTTTGGCACTTTCCAGTAGAGGGCAAATCCATTTACGACGCGATCAATAACAATTATTACAATTAAAAAAACGTCAATAATTAATTACCATTACAGGTGATTGTCCTTTAATGGCATTGCGCTTGGGAGATTCTTGTAATTTAATTTAGATGGCATCTCTTTCTAATTCTATTTGTAATTATACCAGAGTGGCTTTCATATCATCGATATTGTGAATAACCACCACTGCGGATCACACTTCTCATTCTGCTCCTTTCCTCGCACTGCCACTTCGGAATTTCCTACAATCGTCGATTTTCTCAAGATCCTGTAACCTTGCTCAACTCAAAGGAACGTGATCACTCATCTATAACAACTTTGACAGCGCTGTTTGTTGCTGGCGGCTTGAAATGTTGGACCTTTGTGCCTGCGCTGTGGTTTTTAACTGAACAGCTGCTCACCACTCTAGTATGTGGCCCATGATAAACGCCCGGGACTGCGGTGTTATTTGCTGCGTACAGGTCCGTCCGTCCCCCAAGTGTTGCCGCCGAGTTGGGCAGTCGCCTGCAGTGGAACTCCGAGGTTCATACTAACAATAGTACTGCTCCACTCCCGTCAGTGGGACGCCAATGGTGCCTTCTCTATTCTTCTCAAGCGGTGCGCAACTTCAAAAGGCAACGGCGCACACACTTTAAACGTACTGTACAGTAATTCAATACCATGTGGGTGGGGAGGCAAGTGGGCCGAGTCGAGGATTTTTAATGCATTGTGACAGTAATTTTGTTGAAGCTCGCAACCCGCCCAGCAACTGGCAATAAAATTTGAAAACATCCTCGCTACGTTATTAGTTGTGTTTCTGGAGCGAAGCCCAGGTGAAACCTAAAAAAAAGCTTGTCCTGTGACCTATTGTCAAGTTCACTAAAGCAGAACCTGCCCAAAATAGGAACCACGGAGTTGGATAATCATTTAGCATTGTCAATCAACGTAAAAAAAAACTACCACGTTGCCTTTACGAGCCCAAGAGGACATCACTTTGATATAGCCATTGGCAATTGTAATGTTTTTGTAGAGAAGTATTCACAAGGCAAACTAATCAGGAAACTACAGCGCACGCAAGCCAATGCTTTTGTCGACCGAATACGAAAACCTTTGTATCGAATATGAAAATGAGAAATAATCCTTCTCATGATTTGAAACTTTTATAAAAAAAACATTTTACCGAGAAAACAATCCACTGTTTTAAATACAAACGATCCCTGTGAGCAGCAGTCAAGCGCTGATTTATAAATGTCAAAAACACACAGCGAGTGGGTGACGTCCGAAGCGAACTTCACGATCATCATCGACATGAGAATCATCAGCAGTGAACGTACCTTGACTGAAGACGGGAACAGCAGTACAGTTAGCACGATGCAGACAGCGTTCATAGTCCCTTGTGTGAAAGTATCTTCAGTTGTGTTTGGTCGCGTCGTCCTCTGCTGCGTTATCCTTGTTAAGGGCCAAGTGAGTAAATCACTGCCCAGGTCTCTGCACTGATTGACAGCTTCAAATTAAAAAAATTAAAAATCAGCCTCTTTTTTTCTCCCCTCCCCCTTAATCCTCGTTCTCTGGCGGCATCAACCACAAACTAAAAAGTACCAAAGTGGCGCTGCCAAAAACGGGACGCAGTCTCTGAAGCTGTGCTCGGTTGAAAAGAGAGAACACGCGGTTTTTTCGCTTCTACAATCAGTTCAGTGACAGCTGTCGGCAAGGATGAGATGCGCGTTGCAGGTCCAACCTCCGGGAGATGTTCAGGGACCGTCGCAACGAACAGGTGAGCATGGTGCGAACTCTCCCTCGTGTGCTCTCTTGCCAAGGTCGGTCAATACTTCTTCTCCTCGCATGCCACTCAAAGCAGTGACTGAAAGTTGTGTCTGGTGGTGGTGGTGGTGTACAAAGTGATGGGCGATAATTTGGCTGCGTCGACGGTCAGCTCACTTCACGGCTCGATATGTCCTCTAAGTAAAATTAGCTGTCCCGTGATTAAAGTCACTGGGGTAGTTGCACGAGGAACGCTGACACACTCACTGGGCAGAGCTCTCCCTCCTCTCTCTGTATGCAGCTACTGCTGCAGGGTCACAGCACAGAGCTTGTGACTGACTCCGTCACGTGCTTGATGGTGAAGCCAATGTGCGTGTAACACGGGCACCACCCACCCCATACAAACCCCACCCTCCACTCCCCAACCCAACCCTAAGCCACACAAGCCCAAAACCACACACACACATACATCCTAACCACACATGCACACAGACACACGCGCCAACACACACACACACCACCACCACCACTCCCCCCACCTTGCCTCTCTCTCTCTTACCTATGTTTTGGACGTAAAATATCCACGTTTCAAATGCTGCACAAGCGCGCTTTAAATCGTGATTTAAAACTCACTCGCGCTTCTGTAACTCTTGCGACCACAATTTTATTACTCACGCATTTATTTATGTTTGACTGGGTGTGATATTCATTGTGTCAACGAGTACAGTGTAAATTATATAATTCAACCGTGTGTGTACTCTCCATACTACAAATTCACAAAAAACGCAGCTGGAATGTCAAAATAGTTAATTTCTCAGCCGATATTCCAGTTGTCATGCATTTTGCTAATTTATTTTTAAAAAATACTTCGGGTGATTCCTGCTGTTTAATGATGTTGCATGCTATATGGATATCTGAAAAATGTGTGATGCCATTTGGTCATCATTTAAATATCTGTCCTTTTTGTGTTGTCATTACTTTATTAGATCACAATAGTGCTCAGCTGTTGCTTCAGACATCGGTGGAATAAAAAAGAAGAGGGCTCGAAACGGAGACTACCCATTGCGTCAAACGGCTTACGAATAAGCTTCAATGTACACACAGCACACGAGTCATTCGGCTGATAATGCCAACTGACATATAAAATGTAAAGTTGATCAAACAGGGCACCTGCATCACTCACTGAAATTCTGTACATTGTATTGACCTGCACCGTCATAGCAGTTGGCAAGACTCCAACTTTGTAGTGGCACATATCGAATCAGTATATTTAAAGTTTCACCAGCCCTGTTTTTATTTAACGGCTCAGACCGAGGGCGTCTGTGGACAAAACCTCCAGAACGACCCACTCCCAAGCGCGAACGACCCCCATCACTGCGTCCTACGCAGTGCAAGCCTCTGGCGCGATGAGAGAATACCGAGTGCTGTGCGTCTGATGTTGATGATGCCGGTCACATCACCCCTCCTCCAGCGTCCAAGGTCCTCTTTTCCTCCCTCGTGAAGAGCTGCCGGGCCGGGCAGCTGGCTCCCATTGGTTCTGTGTCGCCTCGTCTCTCGCGATGATGCAAGACGGACGCACGGTTGCTCCACTGCATTGCGTTCACGCCTTCACGAGAGCCAAAGGCCACAATTTTCGGCTACATGATTTTGTTTGTAATTAACTGAGCTGGCACTCTGACAACTAATGAAGTGCTCACATCAAGTGGTATAATGACACTGATTTATAATTGAAATAAACGACATGCCATATCATGTTGCAAAAGACTGCACTTTGGAGTTATAAATATGAAAATATATATTCGTACAAAATATATGTGAAAATGTGTAAGAATGGGAAATAGCGCTGAGATATTATGTATATGTTCATTATTCAAGCGTCCATATAAAACAAGGTTACATTTCATGTATTTTATAGACAAATAAAAAGATCAAAGGAATGTTTCAAGCATTTGGAATCAGTTGTATTAATATAATGTATTAAACAACCGCACTGACCAACGTGGTGAGGTATGGTCAAACAATCCCCATGACTTTTATCCAGCACTGTAGTAACAGAGGAATGTATATGATCATTATTATATGATTTTTATTACGATCTGAATTTACTTTGGCCAGATGTCTCAGCACTAGAGCGAGTGGCTCGCAATTGGAGAGTTGCGAGTTTAATCCTTGTTGGGTAGTGACTCAGCCCATCATCCCTCCAGGTTCGACTAAATTAGTACCACTTACAGAGTGGCTGTCCAATGGATAGACGTGACCCTGCCAAAGAAAGGAGGAATATCCACCACTGGTTCAGGGCTGTAAATGGAAGATGAGCCATGCCTTAATGGTCATTTGAGCGGGAAATCAGTGTTTAAAATGTATTACACATCCACAAAAACATTGCATTGTTATTAATTCCATATTTTCTCCAACTGATATGAAAGCAACAATTTAGAGACTAAGTGTTCTGACTTGGAGAGGGTAACATGTACCCTGATGTCAGATTTACACGTTATAATGCCCCATACCGGTGGACCAAAAGACAGGAATGTACTATGAATGACTGAGATGCATTTGTCACACAAATCTGACCCAATTCCAATGCCCCTTGAATAGTTATTGATGTGAAGGCCCTGTCACCCAGAAAACTCTGGTCTAGTTACAGCAGATACAATCACAACAGTGTCATGAATACCACCATATCAAATCATGACTATTGTCAACCTTGGACCGAGTTTCCAAATGTGAAATAATATTTTTCTCCCCACTACAAAATGCACAATATTTTTAGGAAATCGTAACTTTATGAATATTCTAAAAACTGGGATGTCATTTATGAAGCCCCCAATAGGGAACCAATGATAGCAGAACACCGTGTCAGAACCAATACATTTTGACTTAAAATTTTCGTGACTACAGGAATTCATATTCTAGATTTGAAGCTTTCGTGACTGCAAGGATTCATACTAGGTTTTTTCGGTAAAGTAACGTAGGTAAAAAAAATAATAATAATAGAAATAATAATAGTAGAAAAAAAATAGTAGAAATAAAATTATTTAATTTCTACTATTATTATTTCTATTATTTTATTTCTACTATTATTATTTCTATTATTTTTATTATTTATTTTTATTTTTACCTACGTGACTTTACCGAAAAAACCTAAGAGAGTAGGAATTAATATTCTATGGTTCTTTCAGTAAAGTCACGTAGATAGAAAATATAATAATAAAAAATAAAAATAAAGTGATTAAAAATATCACGACGTTTCAATTGCAACACGAGCGGTCATCATCAGGATCGCTTGTGTTGCGATCGAAACGTGATATTTGTAAGCACTTTATTTATTTATTTTCTAGCTACGTGACTTTACCGAAAGAACCATAGAATACAACTAATACATTTGACCTTTGACCAAATCACCCTGAATGCGCCTGATTGTGTCAGATGTCAGGAGCTAAGCAGGCTGACCCTGATTAGTATTGAACTCGTAGACTACCTAGGAATATCTGGTATTGCCGGCTTGGTCTGCAAGTTCACCAGGAACATAGCAACAGATTCTGTAATCTATCTGTGTGGAGCTCTGATTGTTATCACTTCATATTCATGCATTTTTACTTGTTAATCTGTTTCCTCTCATAAGTGAAATGCTCAGTAATGGAATTGGTCATACATCAAAATGCAGGACCCTCTGAAACAGAAACGTCAGATGCAGTTAGACTTTACTGGGTAAAATCAAATGCATTTGTATTATTATTTTTATTAATTATATTGCTACTTCACTGACAACACATCGCCATTAGTTGGTTAGGCCAGCAATGAGCATCATTCAATGGCCACCTAGTCACATGGGCCACAAGTGAACATTAGATTTGTTGAATGATAAGGGCCCTCCTTTAGCAATTTGAAACAGGACGGAAGAAGTAACTTAAAGCATTTGGCATGATCTTCCACTGCTGCTTGTGAGAAAAAAAAGATCAGGATTTGTAAGAATAAATGTTACATGGCATAGGATATCTTTGTCAAATGTTTACCATTTCATAAAAATAAATACAATGATGCTGAGAAACGAAAGTTTGTTTTGAGCCCACAGGGGCTTCATATTCTTCTGTGCTTTCGGTAAAGTCACGTAGATGGAAAACAACGAAATAAAAAAAGATAAAAAACTCGCGACGTTTCGATCGCAACACAAGCGGTCGTAATCAGGCGGAGAAAAAAAGGGGGAAAGCCTCCAACTGCAACTGTTTATAAAGGCTTGAAATGGGCGTAGCCCAAGTGTCAGAAGGAGTGGGGACAAGTGCTGCGGGGCAGCATGAATCAGAGGTCGCAATCAGGTACCCGATACCCGTACCCTACCAGATACCCGGCTACCCGTACCCGGCCAGGGTACCCGTTTGCGACCCTGGTGCGGCCGGGTACGGGTAGGTCGTGAGTCACTGGTGAGTCACCGTTTGTCACTCATTTCCCAACGTCTTGTCTCTTCTCACAATTCAAGTTCCTAGAATCAACCCACCCGCGCCTGCAACATGGCTTCATCCCAGAGGTCGCAATCGGGTACCCGATACCCGTACCCTACCCGATACCCGGCTACCCGTACCTGGCCGGGTATCGGGTAGGGTATCCGTTTGCGACCCTGGTGCGGCCGGGTATGGATAAGGAGTCAAAACCCGTTTGCGACCTCTGGCATGAATGGACGAGCTAAAGTTGTGAGTGGGCGGGGCACAAGAGCCGCGACGCGGCATGAACGAACGAGCTCGTGCTGAGCGGCTCAGTCCAAGTGTGTCAGCAGCATGGGCGGGGCAGCCAATGCTAATGCAGGAGAAGGCAAAGGGCGAGAGAGAGGGGGGCAGAGCTAGGGGGAGAGAGAGGGGGGAGAGATAGGGGACATTGCACCTCGCCCCACACATCCACACTGCTGACGGTGGAGGTTGACAAGACATTATAAATCAAGTCATGACCGAAAGTGGTTCATGACATCTTTCCAATGATTGCTGAGTTTGTAACCGTCTTCTCGGTTGAAATTGGCTGTGTCTATATATGTGGATGGCTTCATGAACGAATCTTTGTTGCTAACTAGTAGGCTTGCAAAGTACCATCGTTTTAGAGAAATCAATTTCGTGTAAGCCAGCCGCATTTAAAAAAATTATCAGCTATGGCAGAAGTATTGGTCCTACCGTGTTTCAAGTCTGCCTTATGTTCACAAACACGATCCGAGACATATCGCTTAGTTTCCCCAATGTAACTGCTGCTACAGATGCAGCTTAGTCTATAGACACCGGGATATTGCATGTCTGGATGGGATCAGATCACGAATTTTATGTACTGTGTTAAATCGTACCTGGATCTTGTGTTTGTTCATGATTTTGGAAATCTT